TTTACTTTTTTGCAAATACACATCATTGTGTAGTGGAACTGTTGAACGGTGACAAAGGCAGGGTAAAAGTCAAGATCTTTTTCTCCTAGCACGTTTGTTTGGGAGCAGTAAGTGGAGGGCTGCGGTTTTGGATTCTGTTTTTCTCAGTTTTTAAGACTGAAAGAATGAGATCCTGCATATATCTGGGAAGGGAAAAGAATAGTCACATCGTTGGCAGTGCAGTTTATAGGTTGAAAAAGAAGGGTTCAATCCAGTACTCACTCCTTCTTCCAGACCTTGATCTGTAAGACTAGCTGCTGAATGTTTTTGTTTTTAATTTTGTAACTAGTCTTTGCAAGACTGAAAATGTACAGTTGTACGTAGGGCTGAGGAAGAATGGTAGGACAGGAAAGCTCAAAGCCCCGGCGGTGTGCTGTTATTGATATTCTTTGATGTGTATGTTAAACCCAAAAACTGTTTTGTCCCTGTCACTCTTTGTGGCCAGATTAAAATTATAGGACTGGGCTCAGGGAAAGAGAAAAAATACAAGAGTGCATACAGCTGAAAGTAAAAGCATAGCAACGTGTGTTGTGCAGTTTAAGACTGTAGGGGAAAAGTGATGCCCAGCAGTCTTTTTTGTTCTAGGAACTTTTTTAATGGTGGTAGCAGTTACTGAACTGAGAAGTAATTTGCATAAGCTCTTCACTGTTCATTTGAAACGCTTAATTTGCACAATAATCAAGGGGCAGTATGAATTCCTCTGCGGTTGTATGTAATATCAACTTATTTCACTTTTGAAGACGCTAGGTTCAAAACTGAAAATATCACACAAAAACCTTGTTCACAAAATGGGCAAGAGGACAAAGCTGTTGCTGTCTTCACCCTTCCCTCACTCCCCTTGAACTGCACACACACACACACTGGTGTTGTGTGCTTTTCTTATCAGCAGCACATTGTATCTTGTAGAAATGATATTTAATATTTAAACCATCCAGAAAGTGCTCCCAAATACAAGATCCTGGAACAAAATTACATTTGTAGGCATCGCTTTCCTTTCCCAGTCCCTGATATGCTCACATAACATGGCATAAATTCACCTTCTTCTCAGGTTTATATACCTTCACATTTTTTCTCTCTTGCCAATGCAGGATCCAAAAAGGAACTGCCCCATTTACTGATCCCACACTAAGGGTACCAGGAGAAAGCATTTGTTGGCTTTTACCTTCCCAGTGCTGCTGTCCTGAAGTTACAGATCACAGACTGAGTGAGCCCAGCTACAGCCCATAAAGGGGAGTTTGTCATCTCTTCAGACTGGCAGGAGGTTTTATTGTTTAATATTGTTCAATTTTTGTGCTGGTGAATGCTTTGCCTGTTAAATAAACAGGTTTTTTCAACTTTTTTCCAAAGAAATTTTTTCCTGAACCAACTGGGGGAGGGGCCACTTGGATCTGCTTTCTAGAGGGACCCTAATTCAGAGGTTTCCTCCAAAATGTGCCCTAAACCAGGACAGCTGCCTTTCAAGAGCTCCACTAGATGGTGGTGTGCACTTGCCAAAGAAGTAAATGTATCATGGTATTTTTAAACCACAAAATATGCAGATCAAAAGTTCTTGTCTCTACTCTCAAAACAAAATGTTCCAGGAAAGAAAGATTGCACTGACATTACTCTTTTATTTTCAAACATGTATTCGAACATGGCACACACCTTTCCCTGCAACCTGTAAAGGTCACCCACCTTATGGTGGTGTGCAATTTCCTTCTCAGCTATATTCAGCATACACTTTTGGATGTCCACAAGTGGTTTTCCATTGGAATGAAAGCATGTAGCCACAGTGGTTCACGTACAGATTGTAAAGATTACATCTTTACCTGCCCTGGGAGGTAAAGATCAGCAAGACATTTTTGTCCTACCACTTTTGTGTTAGGACTATGCTCAGACATGCTCATTCTTGATTGCGGTACCTAAATGTTGGTGCCTGGCTTCAATGGGACAAAAGCATACAGCCTCAGTGTTTCACATGTAGGTTGTAGCCTTCCAGCGGGCAGTAAATGCCAGCAAGCCACTTCTGTTCTGCCCACTTTTGTGTGAGAACAATCTTTGGACGTATTCATTTTTGGAGGTGGTATCCTTGTTTTGGTGCTGGCCTGTTTAGAGTATGAAAAAGAGCATTTCCAGGGGAAAGAAAGGATGTCATTGCAGTGTTTTAGGTGCATGTTATAGGATGCTGAGGTAGGTAAATGCTGAAGAATCACTTCTGTCCTGCCCTCTCATGTGAAGGAGCAATACTTTCCAGTCTTTATCCTCGTATAATTGCTAGCCTGTTGAAAGAGCTTTTCCTTGGGAAGGAAAGCATGTACCCACTGTGTTTCAGGTGAGTTAATAAGCTGTCCATTAGAGGTAAATGCCATCAATCACTTTTTTTCTGTTCTCTGTTGTGCGAGAGCAATCCTTGGATGTATTAATTATTGGAGGTTGTATTCTCATTTTGTGGCTTGCCTGTGGAAGTGTCAGAAAGGCCTTTTTCCTGGAAAGGAAAGCATGGAGTCCTGGTGTCTAAATTGTAGGTTATAAGCTGCCCATGGGAAGTAAATGCCAGCAAGTTACTTCTGTCCTTCTCTCTCTTGTGTGACAGCAATGCTTGAATACATGCATTGTTGCAAGCCAAAACCTAATTTTTGGCAGGCCTTTGAAAAATTCAGGAAGTTCTTTTCCATGGAAAGGAAAGCATGTAATGCCACTGTTCAAGGTGTTATGGGCTGCCCAGGGAGCTGATATCAAGAGGACTTTCTGTCCTACCACCTTTCATTTGTGGTCTATCTATTTGTGTGATCTTTATTGCTAGTGGTATCTAAATGTTGGTGGTGAGCTCTTGCAAGAGAACATCAGTTCCACTCTTTGGGAAGGAAAGCACTTCTCTTCAGCGTTTCTGGTGCAAGGTACAGTCTACCAATCAGAGAAAGGCAAAACACAGCAAAGTAAGGGTAGGCAAGGCAATGAGAGTCATAGGAGAAGAAAGCAAGGCAAGGCAAAGACAGGAAAAAAGGGGCAGGAAAGTCAAGGCGAAGTGTGACTGACTATGGCAAAGCAAGACCATGGAACGGTAGGAAGGGCAAGGGAAGGACATGGAGGTGTAAGCAAGGAAATGCAAGGTTCAGATGGGAAAGGCAAGGCAAAGGAAGGGTAGACAAAGCTAAGCAAGGCCAGGGACAAAAGTTGTAAGCAAGTCAAGGCAGGAGATGGGCATGAAAGGCAATGAAGTGCAAGGGAGTGGTAAGAGGCCAAGGCAAGTCTAGGGTTGGCTTTGTCAGGAAAGGCAAGGTAACAAAAGCTGACAAGGAAAACATCAGAAAATTATGTCAAAGGAAGAAAAGGGGTGTTCCTTTGGGAAGGTGACATGGCTGACAGCCAGGCTGAGGGGCCTTCAAATCAACACATGCAGCACGGGCAACAAACAGGAGGAGCTGGAAGCCACTGTGCTGCAAGAAAGTTATGACCTTGTTGCATTACTGGAACTTGGGATGAATCCCATGACTGGAGTGTCACTAAGTTACAGCCTGCTCAGAAGACACAGGGGAGGAATGAGAGATGGAGGGACTGCCCTCTACATCAAGAAGAGGATTCCACGCGAGGAGCTGCCTTTGAAGAACACCCATGAGCAAGTCCAAAGACTGTAGGTAAGAATCAGTGACCAAGGCAGCGAAGGAACCTTGTGGTTGGTATTTATTACAGGCTGCCTGATGAAGGGGATCCTATTGACAAAGGCTTCTTTCTAAAGCTACAGGAAGCATTGTGCTCACAGGCTTTTGTCCTGCTGGAGGGCTTCACCCACTGTGCAGTGGAGATCCTTTCTTGACAGATGACTGAAACAGAGTTTCAGTGACCTTTTCAGTTAAGGTGTGACATATGCAAAGAAATGTTGCTTTTGGCATCACTAGAAATTAATGACAGCTGTAGATATTACAAGATCACAAGTCTCTTGCACACTGAAAATTTTGAAAGACAGCAAACTATCTTCAGCAAGATTTAGGACCAGATGCAAAAAGCCACGTCTCTTTTGTGAATAATTTTATGGCCAGAATTTGATTTCTTTTGACTCCTAACATGGATAGTCTTAAGCCGTACTTTGTCATCATTTAGTCAGCTCATGAGCTTTTTTTCTTTTTAAAATTGTATTTTCTCAAGGCAGAGGAACTGCAACTATCTACCTTTGAGTAGAGGATTGAGTAGAGGAGCATAAACAAAGTGTCAGGAGACTTTGTATGAAAGATTATTCATACCAGCAAGGAAAAGGCAGGTACTGAAGGAGACTGTTGAAGGAGAGGTCAAATCTTAAATGCTAAAACTGAAGACAGAGCACCACTAAGTCAAATAAAATATTTTTCTATTTGCTTTTAAACTGACACAAAGCAAGAAAAAGTAAATTATTATAACTACTTTAAATTTAGTGAAAAATGTATTGGGGTGTGCATTAAGACAAAGCTGGAAGTTTACAAGTCAGAAATGCTTATAACACTTTTTGCTAGGGATAGCATAGCATTGCATCTGGCAGTTTACTATTCCAACTGTTCTTGAAAGATTTGCATCTCAAAAAGATATGGCATATGAATTCTTAAATTAGACCAATAATGACATACACACAAACAAGCAAAACAGTCTCTCTTCTCCTCCCTTTCTTTCTGCTTTCTTGTCATAGAGTATGTGACTGAGAAGAAACTGAAAGAATTCATGAGTGACAGAGCTTACTCCAATCAATCCTCCCTGATGGAGAGATCAAAGGCCAACTGTAGTGGACAAAGCAGGGCTTTACCCTTTAAAGTATATTTTATCCTATTGAGATCAGCACAAATATAAGAGATGAAACTGACTTCTCATGGCTGTCATCCAGCTATGAAACTGTAACTCAGTACCACCTGCAAAATTTTGCTTGAATCCCCGAAGCAATGATCCTCTCTATCCCCATCCCTTAAACTCCAATTCTTACAGCTTTTCAGTGTTCAAAAATGAGATAATTAAGATAGCAGTGAGGAAAAAAAGAACAAAATAAACATATTTTATTGTGTAAGTAAGTAGATTTGAGATGGAATTACTAAAAGGTAAGTATACATGGACCCCCACGCACACAGTTCTCTTTTTACAGTTGCACTTAAGGGTTGTACTTCAAATATGGTTACACAAATATGGTTATCTTTCCCCACACACACTGACTGCCCCTTAATATTAGAACTTAATCTGCCACAAAATTACATGAAATAAAACAGACTGAGAAATATATTTGAGAATGACTGTTGTTTACAAAGAAGGTAATTTATAGTATACAATTACTGATAAGGTAGAACAAGAATTCAAAACCTGGACTGCATTACAAAGCATATCTTCAAACATCCATTTTGGATTATTGCTGTAAGGTACTAATTGGTCTGTTCTAGACTAATTTACAGACATTCATAAAATAGTGAAAAATCCATGCTTTAGAAACCCGGGACATTTCATGCCTTTGTGCTAACAGAACATGAGGATGGAAGCGAATGGCATTTTTCAATGTAGATTAGTAGCATTTAGAGGTTTTTTTCTGGTGTACTAACTGATTCTTCATATTTTTTCTCCTTTTTTTCAGGTGATTTTTTATCTTCAGGTGTAGTCCATGGAGGGCTGTGAAATTTCTGTAGAGGTAAAAACATGGTGTGTAGAATACATATATGCATAAGCAGAAATTAAAAAAAGTATGTTAAAATTCCATGGCAATGGAATTTTCCCTAGAAAAGGGTCCTGATCTTTATTAAAGAAAGCATAGTTAACAACCTTCCCAGTGCAAAACCATACAAGTCTGATGCTGCATACAGCTTCATATTATTGCATATTTTATATATATATATATATATATATATACACACACAAAACCCAATTATATATGTTTATATATAATATTAATTAATTTAATAATATTTAATAATATAATTAATTTAATATTTAATTATTTTTGAAATCTCTCCCTACTCCCGCTTCCAGGGCTATAGACATCACAATATCAAATTAAGTAATTTGACTACTAATTCATTTGACTACTAGCTCTTAAAATATTTAATAGATTGCAAATTGTTACCAGCCAGAAAACATTTTGAACAGATGAATTGCAATCAGATGCAAAGTCTGAACTAAGTAGTCTTCTCTTTTGAGACAGAACTTGGTGAAGAATGCATAAGTATACTTCAAGTAACTGCATTTCACAAGACCTTTTAGTAAAACCCCAACAATTACTCTGAAAGAGAATACCTGAAAGCTTGTCCCTGTTTCTGCTGCCTTCAAACGAGATGATGAATCATTACGATTCCCCAGACATGTCTTGGCAACCTGTCAATAGCAATGGCAGAGATAACTACTTCATATTTTTTTTCCAAAAATATTCAGTTTAAAAAAAAAAATCACCAGGTCTTCTTTTAAGCCTACTTGATGAAATGGAACAAAGTTTTCATAGCTAAGCTTATCCCAGACTCCCATCATCCCTGTTATGATCTTCAACAATATAGTCTTGTGACAGGCAAGTTTTACAACTTGATACTTATCAATTCAGCTTATTTTGTTCATGTTTAAATCTCATCACCAATACTGAAGTTTACTTCTACAAGTGGTCCTAGGGAACAGAAAATTAATTACAAGTGTCTTTTATGGGTGAGGGAATAGTAACAAACAGTAGAAAATCAGCATTACAGTTAGAACTCCTCTATTACTATTCTCTTGTCTAAACTCTAGATCTCTTAGGTATAATAATCCCTGAATAGGAATATAAAGTCACTGAATGGGGAAGTCAGATGACTCTCAAGGCGAAAAATCTTGTTGTATTAATTGCTGTCATTTTATTCAAGGAATAATGTTATATTCTTTGCCAATATGCTTTTTAGTATCTGGGAAACAGAGTTGCACAGCATAAATAAAATTAATTACAAAGTAGATTTTCGAACCAAGGATACCTCCAGATATGAAACCGGAGATTTACTCAACACTGAAAATTCTACTGTACTTAAATCAAAGTCCCTTCAGGAGTAGGATTAAGATGCCATAAGAAAAGGAACTGAAATATGAAATACAGTCAAATATTCGTAATACTTGGTCATTACTCTAAAATGAGTTCACACTGAAATTTCTCTATTTGTTTTGCTACTAAAAGTAATACATTTAAATGGAGCGAAAATGACAGGGTTTTTTTTTAAGTTTTAAGTCATCAAGACTCTTTCCAGTGTAACAGTGGGGGGGTTTAGTAATGTTTAAGCTACTGAAGTGAGCTTCTGAGATGATGCAGATGGATTTGATTTTTTCATATTTTCCCACTCTAAACAGTAGCAAATAAAAGTTGGATTCATACAGGGAATAATCAAGGCAGTATTGATTAAAATAAAGTCTATTGATAAAGCACCTACTACTTTTATGACAAAAAATCAAATAAAACATCAGACAAACATGTGGTTTATGTCTTAGATAAAGACTAAAAAGTCAGATGACAGAGTAGCAATTGTTAGTAGACTTTTAAGAATTCAAAACCTTGTAAGTGTGGTCCTGTCAAGACTTCAATTTAAATTATTTACTCTTAATCTAGATTTTCAAAAAATATTTCAAGCTGAATCATCTTCAGAAAAAATGAGGATTTAGGTGACTTCCAGGTGTGCAGCTTGAGGACAAAAGATACTATAGGTCAAACAATCAATAGTATGACAAAATGTGTAACGAAGAGGATAGAAATAATGCTAATTAATATGATAATTTACATATCCAGAATTTTCTCTGACTGTACATACTAGAACATGAAATCAGGTAGCCTATTTCATCAACATAATTTATAGGAGATAGGAAGCAAAAACTTTTAATTGCATTAATAAAGCTAAAGGTCAACTTCTTAAGACATACGCAAAGGAAGAAAATAAAATAACCAGATCTGCTTTAGAGAAAATAAAAGCAAAGGATAAAAATGCTTTATGAGTGAGTAGTCTTGCACACTCTTTTCATAGACCAGGTAACAAAGGCTATCTTCATAGAAAAAGAGCAATAAAGACTTATGTCTGTAGTATTTCATATTTGTTCACTCAGAGATCTTTTCTTTTTAGTAGCACATCATATGGATCACTGTTGGAGGAAGATAGTAGGGACTTTTTCACAGAAATGTCTTCATGATGTTAAAGCATAACATATTCATTATTGACTCCTTGTCACTGTGAAACATTGTATATCATTACCAAATAAATTACAGATTGAACAACAACAGTTCAATAGCCAGGATTGTAACCAGTTCCTATGGATGAGGTGGACACACAGACACACAGACACACAGACACACACACAGGACTGGGTTTAACAGAACCCCAACTGAATCCCATCCACGTATGACCTCAGGCATACATACACACACACCCTCCCCGCACCCCCATGTGTGTATTTATGGGCTTTTATATGTATATACATATATATATATATATATATATATGCATATATAAACACATAAATATATAAATACACACAACACATATATATTTTTATGTCCCTCAGCTAAAGCTCAGTGGAGTAATTTAAACCCAATGAACTAGAATACCTTTCACAACCTTAGGTGACAAACAAAGAAAGCAAAATATTAAACTTTTGTTATTGCTGTTAGGTCCCTCTATGCCAATTAGTGGATTGTTTTGTATGTTCGTCTGAGTGACTCTCTGTCAGATTCCCTCCCATGAGAGGTACACTCATTACAAAAGGAGAGAATGAGAGCTTGACATGGTAGAAACTATCAAAAACCAAAAATAATTCGCTGTGCTGCTTTCATCAGCTTAGCATGCAGCCCAATTAACAAAGTATCTGCGCGTGCAATTCTGGTTATAAAATCTGCATCTTGATTGGTAATGTATACAAAATTTGAGAAGTTATGGTATTCAACTGTCCTAGTAAATAACACTGCAAAGCTGGAGAGCTTCACAGCTGGATGCATAAATGACAAAGGCAGATAAACTAAGGGTGCATCTTTATTTAAAAAATTTTCAACAAGCCTGTCAGAACTCAGCATGTCCACTGCTATTAAATCATGCAACTTTATCTGCAAACACCTGAACAATGTAACTACAAGTGCTTTCTACTGCATCAACTCAGCAAATCAGAACTGGCTTTATGGTTGAAAATATCATAACAATTTAAGGTCAAATAATCAATTTACAAGTGTACAGGAAATCAAGTTTAAATAAGTGGTATTATCACAGCTTTTGCTGTTAGAAAATAATTTTGCTCCTCCTAAAGAGCATGCTACAGATTTAGTTGCCCAGACACTGGAGTTTCAGTGTCCCTTTGCATTGCTGCTCCTTTTGGCTTCAGAAGGCACAAAAAGCAGATATGGAAGTTGTTTGTAGAGCACTATGACTTCTATTTATCAGAGAAGATTCTATAAGGACAAAGCAAAATATCTAATATGACAACAGAGAACAAAGAATAATTTTATAAATTCTTTTATGCTTTAGCAATACCAACTAGGTGGTTTAAAATTATATGTTACGTGCATAAGAATTGTTTGACATGAAAAGGGAATGAAGTAAATTATGGTGTAAGAGCCAAAATCCCAAAAGGAAGGGATACAGGAGAAAAAGCTCTGCAGAACTCTGGTTCTGCAAAGAGACTTTCAGAAGTCAGACACAGGAAAACATCTCTGGATAAGGCTAAGAAAAAGTAGTATTGACAAGATGCCTCTAATAAAGTACAAAAAATCTAAAGAACAGAAACTTTTACAACAATACTGAAGTTAATATTTTTTGTTGTTTTTGATTAATTTCAGATGCTGTATCACAGGATATTCTACCTACTTCTGGCTATTACTGGTTCTATGTCAAATTTCATTACAGATAAATATCAGTAGTGTCTAATTTCCAAATTTGCTACTCTGTATGTCATTTGTCAATAAATTTTCATTTGTATTTGCTCTAATGTAAACTACACTAATTACTGTGAACAGGCATAAACTCCACAAATACAAAATTGCAGAAAGATCACAAATTTAAGATAGAGATGCTTAGCCATACAGACTTAAAAATACCAACTGGAACCAGCAACTAACCATTTTGCTTTATTTTTTGCCTCAGTATCTGTAAGATTGCATGTTCTTCTCTAGTTAGTCTTCACTGCCTTAATTCTTCCAAAATATAAATCACATTTTATGAGACACAATAAAAGGATCTTTGTAAAGTTCTGAGAAAGGATTGCTGAAATATTAGGTTTCTAAGCAACAGAGTTAAGTACATCTTCACTAATTTTTCTTAAAAACCTTAACCATCCAACCTTAATCTTCCTTCATTGGAAGTTAAGCAGCTGTAAAAACTTCAGAAAAAATTACGCACAGCCAAGTAATGAAAAAACACAATGAAAAAACTCTTCCTAAGTGTTGAACTTTCTCCAAGTGATAGTGTTCACAGGTGCAAATTGCAGCTTTGTATTACTGAAGTAATATGATCCTTTGGGAAAATAAATTCCTTCCAGTTCTTTCAGAACTTAAGGTGGGACCTCTAATGCCAACACATGGAGGTTAATTGTGGAAAGAGACATTTTTAGTTCAGTTCTCAAAGAATTAATCTGAATTCTTCCTTGTGTCTTTCTTTCTTTCTTTCTTTCTTTCTTTCTTTCTTTCTTTCTTTCTTTCATGTTAATGTGAGATGATGATGATGAGGGTGATGACGATGATGATGATGATGAAGAAGTTGCTAGATCAATGTCATCACCTGCACTATTTTATGTCCATTTTAACCTATGTTAAGATGGACAGCGTGTCCATCTGCTGACTGACTAAACAGTTAAAAATACTAGTTGCTAGAAGTACAAAAAACAACCACCAGCTAATCTAAATAACTAAAACCTTGATTTTACGGAAAAATTAATCTTTTAGGTGTCTTTCATCGCAGTACTTGATACATAAATTAAATACTTTTGATTTTTGAAATATATTAAGAGTTATTTTCTTTTTCTTTCTCTTTTAATGTATTCCCTTCTGTAAAAAAGAGCTGTTTAAACTTTCTGACACAAGTATTTAGCCTAAATTATTTCAGTCTCTACTGAAAGTATTCTACATTTCATCAAGCCATACACAACTTTTCCAAGGAATAACTAACCTCTAGTCATAATCTCAATGAAGTTCACTCCAGCTTCATAATTTTACATGTTTTTCTTCCCTTCCTTCAAATTTTATTAACAACTGAAGCTTCTTTTACCTTTAGATATTAAGAATCATGCAACAGCAAAGTATGCACTCTTATGGATGTGCAATATCTCCTTTTACTGTAGAGGATGTGGCAGAAGGGAGGTAACTTATAACTGAACGAACTTGTAACACCTTTGTAATAAATGGATGCTGTATAATTTTTTACAAATTTATTGTATATTGAATTATCTAAGATTTTTTTCCAGAATTTTCTTCACACTGTCATGATCACTAACAGCAAGCTACTCAGTTACCTGCACAGGATTTGGTTTTATCTCAAGATATAACAATATATTCAACATATACTGAATATTCAATATATATATTTCACCCGCAAATTAGTCAGGGTAGCACTATACTTTTTGAACTATTGAAAAGAAAATCCTCAACAGTCAGAGCAGACTCTCACAACAAAATTTGTCTTGCTCATTTTTTGGTTTTTTTTTTTCCCTATTTGTATTTTTATAATTACAGCCCCAATACATTCATTCGAGATTTCTGCTAAGAGCTCATACTGTGCTGTTTGACTGAGTGTATTGTCTCAGTAAAAGCACCAGATTTAGCTTTCTGTCAGAGCTGTCATAAGAAAAAGACAGCTTACAGCTTTCCTAGACTGGCAGTGAACGATAGCACATCCTTTCTACTATTATGCTGTCATGTCTCACATCTCCCCAAAGGCTTTGCTTTGTTAAACAAAGCATCTGTGAAGGCTGTGCCTGATTATTAGAAATAAATAAATAAGTAATAATGATATGTAAATAAGGGTTTTGCATTTCACTATAATGTAGGCAGCACTTCAGCCAGGAACAAACGAATTTTTGAAATGGTTAAACATCCAATGACACCACTTTCCACCAGTGCTCTTCCTGCAACAGCTCTGCCAGTTCTATTAAGCAGTTTTTAAAAGAAACCATGATAAGATATATGCACAGGCTGATAGCAAAGAGCACTTGCTCCTCAGCACTTTAATACAGAACATAGTGGGCTTATAATATACGCCTACCATCCTGAATAGGAAAAGTCCCACTAACAGTTGCCTAAAGCATTCATGTTTTCCTAAAGCCTAGATTAGGCCTTGTTTTTCAGATGAGCTAATCTTACATCTTGAGAATCACACTCCTGGGTGCTTTGATTTTCTTCCTTTTTCAAGGCCACATGAAAATTCTCTTTCTCTGATGAGACATTTTGCCAGACCTGAAAAATAAAAATATAAACTAATGATTAAAAGACATTAATATAATTGAAATAAAATATCAAATAAGTCACATCTGAAAATTCAGGATAACAATGAAAAACCAAGAGGTCATATACTGCAAACTGTTAACTACTTTATATACTGCATTTTCAGCAAATTTTGTACAAGGGAATGTCTTAAGATACATTCTCATTACAGCACTCCCTTGTAAACGATTACTTCTCTATACATAATCAAGATATTCAATCTACATGCCAAAGGAGGGAAAAAAGCATTTTCAGAATGCATGTTCCTGTGACTCTTGTGGATTCTGGGAAAGACTGAGGCTGTGGGTTGACATGTTCATGAACTGCTTTAGCTTACTTCAGCTGTCCACAGCTTCTCTCTCTGCTGGGACCTCCCAAGCTGCAAGATGGCAAAACATGTTCCTTTCCATGCCTTTCTCTCCTTACACACAAAATGAACTGCTGTATGGGCAAGGCACTCAAATATTGCTTTATAAGCAGTGAACTTCCACTGAATTGCTGCTTGTTTTAAGCATAATTTCCTGTATTTCCTGAAACTTTTAAGACTGAAAAGGACAAAAAAGAAAGAACATGCGCTGAAACTATCCTAAAATCATCAAATTGTCTGCAAGACATTGAAATTCTTCAGGGGGGTGGTGACAGGAAACAAAGCAAAATAACTTTTCTGTAAAGGGAAGTTAAAACTTCAGACACCAGTTTGGAAACCTTTCTCATGTCACTTATACTGCATGGAATTACTAAATAATATAAATGATGATCAGAAATTATGAACAGGACAAACCAAACTAAGCAGGTCACTATTTACAATTTAACTTGAACCATGAAAAATGAACTTCATAGTTGAAATAAAATAGTTCAAATAGTCTCTGGTTAACAGCTCTCCAATGAGGATTTGCTAGTTTTACAGAGCAACTGACTATGGGAGGAAGTAATGTGGAGATAAACAAATTTAAAAGATCAATAGAAATAATTGTTTTGTTAAATAATAAATGCCATTTAATACCTGTATTGAGTGACCTGTCTGTTTGGACTGAAAGAAATTACAGTTCTTCAAACCTAAATTTCTTCCCATGGAATAAAAGAAGCATATGTTCAATAAATTACAAAACTTGTGCTCACTTGATTTCCTGACTACCTGACACAGTGAAATCCCATGGGATGCCAGCAAGACCAGACAGCTTTAAGCCCTACTAACTGAGGAGAATAAAGGCCTGTGCATAGTAATTCTTATTTCAGAATTTGATTCTTGCTTAAGATTGTACCTGAGCAAATGATACACCATTTCTCAGCATGTTGTACTCATTTCTACAGAACAAGGGGGAAGTTTGAGATTTTAGGTAAGTTGTCATAAAAAAAAATGGATTCCTAGTGTCACATTTTCAGATGTTTAAAGCATTTCCTATTTCTAGGAAATTGGAAAACAGGAAAATTTCCAACTGTCTCCTGTTTCATCTTTAAAAGACTGAAAGCCATTATTACATACTAGAACTCTTCTGTTCTCTCTCTCAAAACAAAAGACAAGATTTTATGAGGTTTTTCAATTTCTATAGGATTGCCTTAGCCAGTAGGATCAGATTCTGTAACAAACTTTTAAAATCACTTACCAGAGCTGCACTGCACAGACACCAGCCAAACCTGGGAGCAGTGAATGGGACTGCTACACTCCCCCTGTTTTCTAACTGATGGACATTGCATCCCTTCATCTATCATCAGCCATCATCTCCAATTACTTTTCCTACTGTTAGCCTAAGGTGACACTGATCTGCATGTCTTAAGTTCACCACCAGGTTTAAAACACCATCACACTTCTCACAAAGACCAAAGGGGGAAAGCAGAAGAAGAGGGCAAGACCCTGGCTGGGTCCCTGTCGTGGTTTGGCACTGGCCAAAAGCCAGGCACCCAGGAAAGTAATTCACTTTCCCTCTGCTGCTACAGCTGGGCAGAGGAAAGGGAAAAAAAATAACAAAGGGCTCATGACTTGAGATAAGGACAGGGAGAAAAACACTCTAAGGGCAAAACAAGTTCACATTTAAAGGTATAAAGTAAATTTATTATTAAGAGAGTCAGAGGAGGATAATGAAAAGTAAAAGAATCCTTTAAAACACCTTTTTTTTCTCCCCAGCCCCTTGCTCATTCCCAATGGCAGTGAAGGGACAGGATGTGCAGATTTTGGTCAGTTTGTCGTTCGAGATCTGTTTGCTCACGGAGTCTTTTCTCCGCTGTGCAGTTACGTCCCTCCCACAGCAAACAGTCTTCCCAAAACTGCTGTGATGTGGGTCTCTCATCCACAGGGTGCAGTTTTCTAAGGACAGGCTGCTCTAGTCTGGGAGCAAGGGCCCTCTGTCTCTATCTCTGGCAGCAGGAGCACTCTCTCTCCGTTCGGTCTCCCACTGGATCACAGCTTGCTCCGGCATCCACCCGCTCCAGCGTGAGCACTTTTCCCATGGGCTGCAAGTGGATCTCTGCATTCTGTGTGGACTTCATACATTTCAGGAGGCCAGCTTGTCCAGCACAGTCCTCACTGCGGCTTGCAGAGGAATCTCAGCTCCAATGCTTGGAGCCCCTCCTCCCCCTCTTTTATTTTTCCACTGACCCTGGAGCGGCCATGTTGTTTTTCCCGCACATTTCCTCACTTCCTCCTCTCCTCTGACTAGAAGAAAAATTGCTGCTGGTAGATACCATTGCCAACAAGTTCCATTAATTCAAAGATTCCTGCAGGATCCTGTAGTGCCGAGAGGTTGATTTCATCCAGGTTCCACACTGGGGAATCACTTGCCGTGTCTTCGCCGTTGGCCTCGCGGCCCTGCAGCCACCACGTGGGCAGAGGCAGCCACCATGGCACTGGTGCTATTCAACACCTCTCCTCATGCAGGGCACCAGGAAGGAGAAGCTGCCGCTGCTGCCCCTGCCGTGCCTGCGGCGTGGCTGGCTAGGGGCTGCCAGGCAGGCAAGGCTCGCTGCAGGCCGCACCGAGATGGAGGCAGCCGTGGCACGTCACTGCACCAGGGATGCCCCTGGCAGAGGTGCCTTGCCACTCCTGGAGAAAACTGCACTTGTGCTGCTTTGATTTTCTTAAATATGTTATCTCAGAGGTGCTACCAACATCTCCAGCTGGGCCAGCAGCATGTCCATCTTCAGAGCCGTCAGACCTTGGCTCTGTTGGACATGGTGGAAGCTTCTAGTAGCTTCTCCTAGAAGACCCCTGTGGGACCCCCCTCCCCCATTACCAAAAACCCAGGCCACGCCAAATCAACACAGTCCTTTAAATCTGAGTTCTGGCCAAAACACCAGAGGGCATACTGCATCTATTTAGGCAGTTTCATTCTATAAATTTTTAGGAGCAACACTGACTATTTACATGAAAAAAAAATTTTAGAGACTTATATACTTGCTGATAATGTGTGAGTCTTACAGGAAGACTTTGCAGAGAGGATGTTTTATTTTTAAAAATAACCTCTCATATAAAAATGAATATGCTATTACTTATCTGAGTGGGACCTATTTACTAGACCAACACTTTACGTAATAAAAATGACATCAAGTATTCCACAGTGAAATTATTTAGATAAAGATTATGAACTCCTTCCCAATTTACTTAAAGCTTTCTAAACTGTCCTCAAATCTTTTCAATATGGGATTTCAAACGCAAATATTTTTTCAAGGAACATGAAATCTTCTATTTTCTTTTTCTCTTTGAAATAATTTAGAAGCATCATCGTGGTGAGACCTTACAAGCTTGACTAAAACCCAAGCTTTGCTTTTCACATCCTTGAAATAATTGTTTAAAATGTATTGAAGGTATGTGCTTGCAGAGGAAACTAGACTCTGCTGATGACTTCTTTGCTTACAGCAAAACTTGCATAATACTTGAAGAGAGGCAAACCAAATTTCTTATTTCTTTGAGATCTCTTCCAAAGTTTGCAGTGGAATAAATAAGACCCCACTTCTTCTTCATGCCCTTGAAATTTCCTTCAGTTATGCATTATATATTTTTCATTTCTAATACCAAACAGCTTTTCTGAAAGGGTGCACTATTTTTATAATACCCTTAATCTTCACTGCTAAATAAAAACTACAAAATTCGGTCAACTGAATCCCATCTTTCAAAAGATTTTTAAACTTTGATATGTAGCTCAATTATTTGCCATATTATAAATAGTCTTCTCATGTCACTTTTTGGCATGACTGCACAACCCTCACTCTATAGTCAGCAGTTTTTCACATGAGATGCCAGAGTGCTAGGAACAGGACTTGCCAGACAGCCTGCCAACACAACATGGGTCACATCAATGCAATTTTTCCCTATTAGTTAGAGCTACAGATTAATCTTTTCTACACTAAGGGTTTCTAGTGATAATCAATTGCCACATTAACAAAAAAAAATAAAAATTTGGGCACTCATACTGATTTAACAGGATTGCACAGCATTTTCAATGTAAGCAAACAAACTAAGCAGTTTCTAGCAGAGTGCAAGTTCATGATATCCAAGGACCAAAAAACCCCAGTTCATGATGGCCATGATGGTTTTCCTCTAATGATGGGCAATGTCTTGATATGCCCATTTTGATGAACTTCATATACTGAAATCAAGGAGTTTGCCCAGAACACATTTTTTGCTACTGAAGGTTTCATGGACCCAAACTGCAAACATTCAAAAACTACCTCCAGCAAAGACTTGCCAGCCTGTCTTTGGTGTGCTGGCCGCACCGATCTGCACTTAGTGATATCTGTTTGGCATGTTGAGTCAGGCCAGTCTGAGAGATCCCCCTGGACTGCGGTTGCTTCTCTTTAGCAACTCCACCAAGATTACTACCCAGATGGTCTGCCAAGAGGCTAAAACTAAGGAACAGCTTAGGCAGGGGTCATCCCCACTTCTCAGAGCACTCAGTTTTTTACTCTTCTGGGACATGTCTTATTCTTTTGAGATGGAAGTGGCTTTTGTCATGTCTGCGAGGTCACAGGTTGCTCAAGAA